AGCTGAAATCAGCCTTACCACAGGTGTGGGGCACATTTTAGAGCTGGCCTTTCCCCATCTGATACAGTGAACCCTCGCCATTTCGCGCTTCGACTTCCGCGGCTTCACTCTATCGCGGTTTTTGCGTAACAGCGCATGCTCTGTCATTACTGCCACTGATTGGCTCATAGTGTACACGCTTGATGCCATAAATAATATAATAAATAATAAATGATAATTGTAACGTCCAAAATGTTTTACTGTATTTTCCCTTTTTCGTTTAATAAATTGGGTAATACAAGTGTAATGGTGACTAAAGGGTGTTTTTTCATGTCCTCTATGCTCTAACCACGAAAATATTTGATTTACAAATAAGGAATCCTACTTCGCGGAATTTCATTTATCACGGTAGGGTCTAGAACCGATTAACCGCGATAAACGAGGGTTCACTGTATACCTATGGTTTGTGCCAGGGCTCATGCCGGCTAGCATCGACGTGCATTTCCTGTTTTCTCATCCCATGTAAAAGTCAAGCTGCAGTTCTGAGCTCCTACATTTCCAGGGGCCCGTTTCCTAAGGCCACAAGCTCCCCATCCAGCCATTGTTTGCATTTTCCTTAGTTTGGGCCAAAAGCCCACCTCCGCCAGGAGGCAACCTCCCCACTTTCTTCCTAAAGTCAGTCAGTCCAGAGACGCCTGGTCTTGGTCCTGGCCCTGGTCCTGGTTTAGAATGACTGCCCTTAAGCAGTGCTGGACTCGCCTTTAGTTTCCCTGGTTTCCACTGTCCCCTGGTGGTCATTTGTGGGATGAGCATCTTAAATGAAGATGGGTGACGTTATTCTCCACATTGGAGGAAAAGAATGAATGAATGAATTCCCTGCACGGGCTGATTGCACTACAGACGAGGGGTGGGGATGCCTGGGGATGCCGTGGGGAGGGGCGTTAGTGTTTCAACCTCCTCCCCTCAACAGAAGAGCAACTTGTAACTCCTGCGGTCTATCAGACCCAAGAGGAACGGGCGAGGTGTATGCCATAGTCTAAACATGGGCACAAGCCATGTGCGTGGGCTGCTAATCGTTGGGGTCCACTCACAGGCCCTGCGGAAGAAAAGTCCGGCGCCCTGTGTCTGCAAAGATTGTTGTGGGTGGGGCCATTGGGGTCCCACTCACAGCGACCCGGCATGTCGGTAGGACTTTGCCACTGGGTTTTCTAGGCTGTAATTTCCCCGAAAGCACGCCAACAGGTCTCTGCCCTACAGAGCTGCCCGAGTGGATTTGAACAGCTCACAGCCGAGCGCTTGAACTACCAGCCCTCCTGTTTGTAGAGATTAAAACAAAACCCCACCCACTGCCTGCCATTGAGTCGATGAGGACTCTCTCTTTTTTTAAAGATCGTTTTATTGAGGGCTCTTAAGCTCTTATAACATCCCAGATATCAACTGTATCAAGCATGTTTGTACATGTGTTGCCATCCTTATTTTCTAAACATTTACATTCTGTTTGAGCCCTTGGTATCAGCTCCTCTTTTTACCCTCCCTCCCCTCCCTCCCTGGTGACCCCTTGATAAATTATTAATTTCTTATCTTACACAGACCCTTCCCCTGAGGTTTCTTCCCCCCTCCTCTCCCCACCTTCCCCCTTGCCCTCCTGGTATTGGTAAACCCATTTTTGTTCCGGAGGGGTTTATCTGACCTGGACTCTGTGTCATGAGCTCTTATCTGTACCTGGGTACATGCTCTGGCGTAGCCCACAGTGACAGGCAGGACTGGGGTCACGATAGTGGGGGGTGAGGAAGCCTCAAGGAACCAGAGGAATATTGTGTCATACTTCACCCTGGTTGACTCATCCCTTCCTTGCGACCCTTCTATGAGGGGATGTCCTATTGTCTACAGATGGGTTTTGGGTCTCTGCTGCAACCCCCCTGTTTCTCAACAATATGTTTATTCATTTGTTTATTTGTTTTGGGTTTTCTGATGTCTGTTACCCAATCCTGCCAACACCTCATGGTCGCACAGGCTGGCGTGCTTCTTCCATGTGGGCTTGTTGCTTCTCTGCTAGATGGCCACTTGTTTCACGTCAAGCCTTTCAGACCCCAGATGCTATATCTTTTGATAGCCGGGCACCATCTGCTTTCTTCACCACACTTGCTTGTGTACCCGATTTGTTTTCAGCCATGTTGCCGGGAGAGGGAACATCACAGAATGCCAGGTTGTTAGAACAAAGTGTTCTTGTGTTGAGGGAGGGCTTGAGCAGAGGCCCAAAGACGACGAGGTCTTAATGACCCACAGGACATGGCAGAACTGCCCCTGTGGGTTTCTGAGACTGTAATTCTGTAAGGGGATAGAAAGTCTGTCTTTCTCTGGAGTAGTGGCCCTGGAGCTCAGCAGCCGGACTCAGAGCCCCTACTGGAACAAGGCTCTTCACGTAAAGATCACAGCCGGGACAGCGCTAGGGGACGGCTCAACGCTGTAGTGGTGCATGGGTTCACCACGGGTTGCAATGGAGCGGTTGCACTGCGCCATTTCTGGGCACCTGCTTCTTATGGTTGGAGGTCTCAGGTGGCACAGAGGCAGGGTAGAGCCAAGAGGCCACCTGCTGTGCTCTGTGGGATCTTGACCCCAGCGTGTTGGATACCTGCTTCTACCACCTCTGAGGAGTCAGTGGACATGAAGGGATCGTGCGGGTGCAGGGGACAGTGGGAGCTGCAGTTCAGCTCAGTGTCTGCTGACTACACAAGGGAGAAGTGCCTGCCTGGGAGGGGGGTAGGCGGACCTCTGAGTTTGAGTCAGACAGTACCAAACAGCCGAGACAAAATAATTTTTGCTCCCAAAGACGGCAGTAGCATGTGGCTCAAACACAATGCTTCCCGTGTAAGCTCCCTATATGCTCCTGGTGTCCCTGGGGCCCCAACCTTCCTTGGGAGCAGTCAAACCCAGGAGAACAGGCTCAGGGAACACCAGGAGTCAGGAATAGAAAGCTGGAGGGAAAGCCCCAACACCGGCCCTTCCCCCCAGGATGGGGGTTTCTGCTGAGCTCAGGGGTCCCAGGATTAGGCCCCACTAGCCAAGTTAGGCCTCCCATTCCCGCACAGGTTCCCAGTGACCTCCAGGCCAAGCCTCAGTTGGAAGCACTTGACCAGTGGAGCAGCTGCTGGAAGAGTCCTGCAGGCCAGGGAACCCTGGAGACGCCCCTCTAGCCGGAGGATACCTGCTGGCCCGCTCTGTGGATCAGGTTTCTGGGGGCTTCCAGCTTTGGGACACACCCCACACCACTCATCCGAAAGTTGGCTGCTGGCTGCTGCTCCAAAAAATGGGCAGCACCCGTTCGGGCTCCTCAGGTGAGACAGAGCCGAGGTACCAAGTGCTGCTCCTCCAGAGATCCCTGCAGGTGACTCCTGTGCCCCGGAAGCCTGGGGGGTGGGGTTCCATTCACACGAGCAGGGTGGCATCTAAAATGAACTCAAAAGATGAAGGCCAAGTGACTAGGAAGGTTCGAAGCAGCAGAGGAAGAGACGGTTCCTCTGTTCACAGGCCTCCAAACATAGTTAGAGAGAGAATTTCCCCTCTGGGATTCACCAAACTACCTGTACTCTGGGACCAGCAACTAGGCCTGGGTCCACTGGAACCTAGTGGAGCAAGTTAGGGAAGGGGTCTCTCTCCTCCCAGGAGAAAGCAGATAGGAGAAGAAAGGGCTCAGCTCATTGCCGTCTTAATCATCTGTCCATTAAACACATGCTACTGAGCCCCTGTATGCATTCCCAGCACTATGTGAGGAGCTTGCACACAACAGTGGGGCATAAACCCCCCAGCTTCTGACAACTGTAGTCTCCACAGGTGCCCGGCTAATGCCTGAATAACATTTCTGCAATAAAGGTGCTCCCTGTTCAATGGTGGGATGGTTCATTGGGTAACACGTGTTTGTAAAGCTTGCTGAGGGAAATGCCCAGGATCTAATGTTAAACTTTTAAAGAAGCAGGATTCAAAACTGTAGGGAAAGCTTTGTTCCAATTGTCTTAATGGACCTGTGTGTGTTAGTCCGGGTCGACTAGAGAAACAAATCCATGGACACTCTTATGTGTATCAGAAAGAGCTTCATACACAAGAGCAATTGACTATTGAGAAAACATCCCAGCCCAGTCCAGATCAAGTTCATAAGTCCGATATCAGCCCATATGTCCGACGCCAATCTATAAATTCTTCTTCAGACTCATGCAACACATGCAATGATGCCGAATGCAGGGAGATCACAGGCCAGTGGGTGGACAGTCTGGTGGATCCAGTGGCAGTGGAAGCATCTCAGCACTGGCAGGGTCTCCACGTGGCTCCTCCAGCTCCAGGGCTCTGGCTGCCTCAGCATAGCTCCATCAGGCTCATTGTCAGTAATGTCTCACAGGGAGTGAGTGTGTGTCCAGCCTCCAGCGAGCTATTTATCTCCTTCGTGCCCCCTAATGAGGTCATCAAGCTGTGACCTGATTGACAGACGAAACTCCACTCCTTCACTCAAACTGACGACAGATTATGTAACTATCACAATGTGCATAGAAAAGGAAAAAGCAGGTAAAAAAAATAAGTATGTGTGTGTATAAAGCGGTTGACCTCTGGATTTTTGCTTACAAAGAAAAAATAGATTATGATAGAAATCTGTTTTGATTATGGGCTTTAAAAAGATTTTTCTGTATTTTCCAAGATTTCTACACCGACTGCCTATTTCTTTTATAATCATTAAGAAGAAGAAAAATAGAATAATTAAATACACATCTAAAATCTTATTTCACTTCACCACAGGAGAAATGAGTTTCCCATTTGAATTCAGGTGTTCGAGCTAGACTTGGAGAACAGCTTCCGGCTCACGGTTTCTGAGCTGCTGGGGAGGGTGAGCCAATCAGATGAGTTGAAGTTGTGGTGGGAGGAGCGGTGGATTCGCAGGGCATAGGGGTGGAGACAGGTCTGGTTTGCTTCTTACTGTCTGGGTGACCTTGAGCGAGCGAATGCTCAAATTCCGTTTTCTATTTTGAAAACCGCAGCTGGCTGCCGAGGGAAGATCCCATCCGCCATGGCATCTGACCTAGAAAAGGCCTCTGTCAGTGGTAGGTGACAGCATGTCACTAGGATTGCAGGTAGGTAACTCAAGATGTCAATCCCTGGCTCCTGCAGGGACCCCCACCCCCACCCTGAGCCAGACCAGACAGGATCCTTAGTAATGTTTATTCCCAATTTAAATCTTGGAGTAATATAGAATTGTGGATTGTTTACATGTAGTGTTTCTCAGATTAAATGAATCCTAACAACAAAAGTGCTTTATAAGATCTTTCTAAGTTGAATGTCAAGATTGCTGGTCACACACATTACGAGTTACAATCGTATTCGTTAAGGATAGAAGTCTGTTTGCCTTTCCTCCTTTTTCTTTAATCATTGCTTCATTCTCCAGAAAGCTACCGACAGAGGTACACTCCCCCCAAACCCTCTCCCCCCCAAAAACCCTCACTGCCATCAAGTTGATCTCAACTCACAGCGACCCCAGAAGACAGGATAGAACTGCTCCGTGGGTTTCTGAGATGGCAACTCTTCACAGGAGTAGAATGCCTGTCTTTCTCCCCAGGAGCAGCTGCTAGTTTTGAACTGCTGGCTTTGTGGTTAGCAGACCACTGTCACCACTACGCCACCAGGGCTCCTTCACAAAGACTACTTACCACAGTATTGTAGCCCAAACACCGCAAGATCTGACCAAGCCAGTGACTGTAAGAGCAGCCCTGCTTGTAAGGACACAGACAAATGACATATTGTCATGGGGTAATCATGACAGCTGTGACCTGAGCACACTAGCTGAGCCAAAGGAGTCGTGGGGGTGCAGCGGGGTATGCATTTGAGTTGCTAACCTCCAGATCGGTGGTTCCAGCCACTCGGGGGAAGAAAGGTGAGACGTTCAGTCCTGTGTAGACGTACAGCCTCAGCGACCCTGTATGGGGTCACGAGGAGGCGGAAGGGAGGCGCTGGCAGTTTGCCTTTTCTGAGTTTTTAGTCCTGCAGAAGGTATCTTGATTCATGAAAGCAGGACTTGGGTTGTTCTATCTAACTGCAGGGATTTCTTAATACAAATAGTACGTTTCCATTGAAAATTGCCGAGTTTAACAAGTACAAAAAGGCTACCGAGGAAATGGTGTAGGGGCCACAATCAACCTTCTTCAGCAGCAGCAGGGAGGAGGAGAATCCGGTTCGACATCAGCCCAAGATCGACTGTCACAAGGCATCAGCCAGACATGCCCCCCCCCCCTATGTTCTTCTGACAGCAACTATCCCCAGGACACCCTATTCCCCCGATGGGTGCAATAATCCATTGCAATGGCCACACAGAATTCACAGATAGTACTCATAATTATGGGGTTTACTAGGGAAGTTGGGAAGGAGATGGGGCTTTCTACTGTAAACTGTTAACAGCCTTGGAAACCCAGTGAGGCAGTTCTAACTTGTCCTATAAAAGATCACTATGGGTCAGCATTGATTGGATAGCTATGAGTTTTTTTGTTTTTGATTTTAATTAGGGACATTAACAGGTTACCACATCAAGATGAAAAACAAAACCATTAAGGATGCAGTCCCTTTGAGCCCAGTAACATCTCTATCAGCCAGCAGCCATGTCTCTCTCTGGTCCGCAGCCTCCCCACCGTAGAGTCCCTTGACCTCGGCCTTGTCCTGGGGGCTGGGAAGCCCAATGCTCTGCCTCACAGACTTGGTGCTGTCTTTCGGCTTGGCCTCATGGTTTTAACGCTGTGGCCTCTGGTGCCCCTGCCACTTCAGACAGGGAATCTCAAAGGACTCCGCGTGCGCACGTGCCTCTTCTTTCTCGATGGCCATGGGCTCCTTCCTGTTTCTCTTTCTGAGATGGTTCTCTTCTGCCCAGAGGAATCGGAAAACTGACCAATCCTCAAGTTAGGCTTCTCCACACCTTACTTGCATGCTCTCAACCAGTCACTGGGTGGGAGTTACAGAGCCTATCGATGGAAGAGTCATGCAAACAATTGTTCTCTACCTTGAGCATCATGTTCTTTTTAAGAACTGTCTCTATGGGATCAAGGTGACAATAGCAACTTAAAGCGTAGATAGGAAGCTTAGGAGAGAGTGGGTTATGTATTGAGTTGCTAATCACGAGGTCATCAGTTCGAAATCACCAGCCACTCTTCAGGAGAAAGATGAGGCATTCTTCTTGTGTAAAGGTTTACAGTATCGGAAACCCACAGGGGCAGTTCTGCTCTGTCCTGGAGGGTCGCTATGAGCTGAGTCCACTCGATGACAGTGGTAACTTGGTGGTAGCCGTCAGGGTACCGAGAGAAGAACCCCTCAGAAAAGAATGATGACAATGGTTGTACAACTCAAAGAACCTAATCAATATCACTCAACTGCATATATAGAAACTCTTGAATTGGTGTATATTTTAATTACAAATTAAAAAAATTCTGCCAAAGCACTGCACAAAAACTTCATAGACATTTTCTTGCTGTCACCTCCACTGATAAGGCCACCTGGTGAGGAAGGTGATAGGAAGTTCCAGAGGTGGAGGGGCAGGAGCACCTCAAGTGGCTGGGGCAGTGAGTGAGCCCTGCGGAGGGGTGTGTGGGTAGATAGGGTTGACTGCAGTTGTGGGTGCATCTAAACTCAGAAACCGCTGAGAGGTAGTGAGGCTCGATCCTATGCCAGTCCTGTTCTCTTGACTCTTAGTGACCTGTGGAGTTGTGGTTTATTTTGATGGATACCTTTTCTTTGTCTGGGGTTGCTCTTAGCATCCTGAATCAATGCGGCACAGTACACATTCAATCCCTAACAGGTGGTAACTGCACAATTGGTCCTTAGAGCTGATGAGGATGTTTGGGACACATTTGCCTTTAGAGAACAAATGTCCTGAGGCAAAATAGCCACCATCTTCCAGAAAACCTTGGGTGTGTACATCTCCAGGTGGCACTTACCTGTTACAGGTGAGTAGCTTGTGTGCTTCAGAATGGAGGTGGTGGAATGTTTGGTCTTTGTTCCATCAGATAAGAAGCTTAGTCCCTGGTCTTCTATATTCCAGGTCTTTGAGCCCCTCAGTCTCCTTCAGAGATTCAGGTAGAAGAGGGTGGTAAGACTCACCCTTCTCTACACCTGGAGTCAATACAGAAAGAGGGATCAGAACCATTAATTCCCCTGAGTGGCTGGTGAGCAGGGAGAAAGAGCTTGTTCAGGGATTTAATTTTACTCTTCAGACTTTAAAAAAAAGTATTAAGATAAGCGATGTACTTGCTTGTTTAATTCTTTTATATCTCAAAAGAGACTGATTTAAGACATGGTCAACAGTAATATAGACAGTGAGTTGGGAGAGGGAGATCAGTTTTCTATTGCTAGTTCATACACATTTTGTAACATCTCATTGATTGCAATCCCAACAATGCAGCATCACTTAACTCCCTCCTTCCTTTTTTCTTGTTTCTTTCCCTCTCTCCTCCTCTCCTAACTCTACTGAACATTAGGGTAAATGCTGCCCTTTTGATCTCAAATGGTTGGTACCTCTAAGGTGTAGATAATCCCACTGAGATAGTTTAAGGTTTATTGGGCTTGGACTGTACCACAATGGGATGATTTCTTTTTTGGGAGGGGGGTGCTTTCTGAATGTACACTTACCCTTTATATGAAACTCTCTCTTATACATATATGAGTTTGTGAGGATTTGTTTCCCTAGACTAACACACCCCACTAATGTTATTATTTTCCTTATAGACCAGTCTATTGTTTGGGGCATATTTGGGCTCAACATTGGGCCCCAGGAGTGAGTTTATTTCAAGACCTGAAGGATGACTAGTGGCTGTAGTCTTAGGAGTTCCACCATTCTCTACCTGACAATACTCCTGCTCTCTATGATTCTGAGTCTGTTCCACAGTGTTCTTCCACGCTATCTAGGACAATGGTTCTCACCCTGTGGGTCATGACCCCTTTGGGGGTAGAATGACCCTTTCACAGGGGTCACCTGATTCATCACAGTAGCAAAATTACAGTTATGAAGTAGCAACAAAAATAATTTTATGGTTGGGGGGTCACCACAACATGAGGAACTGTATGAAAGGGTCGAGGCATGAGGAAGGTGGAGAACCACTGCTCTAGGACCTTCTAACATGACCCCTTTCAGACTAGTTGATAGTGGTAGCTGGGCATCTAGCTCTCCTGGTCTCAGCGTGGTGGAGATGGATGTTCCCACGGGCCCTTAGTTCATTGGGCTGGTCTTTCCCATGCATTTTCAATTTTACTCACTCTCTCCTCCAGACAAGGAGAGACGATTGCTGCATCTTAGATGGTTGCTCAGCAACTTTTAAGACGCCAGGCTCTACTCATCAAAGTAGAATGTAGACCATTATCTTTGTGAACGAGGCTGTGCTAATTGACCTAGCCCCCGGCCCAGTCACCTGTTCCCAAGGAAGTTGGTTATGCCTAACGAATTTTCTTAACTTTGGCCCCTGTATGTGCCATCATGGTCACAGACAGATTTTCAGCAAAGGTAAATACACACGTAGAAATATCCTCTGTCAAACCTGGATGCATTTGTGGGCATTTCCCCACCTCCTTTCACACCTGTCTAGCCCGTGTCTTGTCTATCTAAGCATGTACTGGTTGATTGCCATTCTTGCAGGATTGTGCAAGTGACAGTACTCACCTCCATTGTCTTTAACTCCTGCACACCTCCCGGCGTCTTCCCCTGCCTCCATCATTGAATGACCTCCCTCCATCGTATATTGCCTTTCCTTCATCCATGTTAACATGCCAGCCCTTTAGCCAGAAATGTACCCTTCATCCCTCCCCTCCCTGCCTTCCCTTCTTTTCCTCTCCCCACTCATCTCGTCCCCTCCCCTCCCATCCATGAGCCCTCCTGGTGGGTTGCTTTTTGAGCTGCTAACCAAAGGGGTGGTTAGAGACTCTGAGGAAGATGAGCTTTCTGCTCCCATAAAAGTTTACCGCTCTGGAATCCCAGGGAGCAGTTCTGCTCTGCCCTCCAGCATCACTGGGAGTTGGGAGCGACCGAGGGCAGTGGGTTCTGTCTGTTCCCACTCCTGGTCCCTATCAAAGAATATTTCTCTGAGTATGAAAGCCTTTTCAGGATGGTTTACAATAGTGAGCTCCAGTCCCAATGCGTCTTACCCTGTCTGCAGTGTTCAGGTTGGTCTCCCGGAAAGGGTGTGTGTGTGTGTGTGTGTGCTGTTTGAGGGGTGTGGTGAGTTTTGTTTGGTTTTGTTTTGAGTTAGGGAGCGCAGAGTGACACCAAGTCCTGAGGTCACCAGACCACTTTAACCAGAGCTCCGAGGCTTCCCTTCCTGCTCTATAGGGGAGTCCGTTCAGGGAGCCACGTCTACGATTGGCTTCCCCTGGGCCCCATGGGTTTTAGGAAATGGGTCCCACCAACCGGTGGGCAATCCTTGCTCCACCACACGTGTGTGCCTTTTTCCAGCAGGGAAGGCCCACTGCTCTCATTACCATGGGGGGGGGGGGCCGTGGTCCCAAATAAACAGGCCCGTGGCGCTGAGTGGACCCCGCCGCGTGGCGCCCCTGTGTGTGTCAGAGTGGGACTGTTCTCCGTGGGCTCCAGTGGCTGACTTTTCAGAAGTAGACCACCAAGCTGATGAGCCCAAGGAGGGTTAAAGCACCCCCGAGCTGGACCCTGAGGGTGTGTATGGAGCAGAGGAAGGGGTGGGAGAGGGAGCGTTGGGGTCCAAGGGCAACCTCGGTAAGCTAACATGGCTCCATGCCTGATACTACTCCTGGCCAGACCATGCTATTGTGAAAGTCAGCTGAGAAGACACGTGTGTGGAAGCGCCTCAGTTACATAAGGTGTTATTCCTGACTTAGAAAAAGAGAAGTTCTCTGGAATGGCACAGATGGTGCCAAAGAAATAGCTCTTCTCACCAACGCCCCCTTTCCCCTGCATTTCCTTCTGGTCACCAGAACCTTCTCCGTTCTTATCATGCATCATCTTTTTTTTTTTTTTTTCTTTATTAGGGCTTCGGTGGCTTGATAGAGTTTGCTGGCGTGACCTTTGCCATGTTTTGAATAACATTTCTCATGGTGGAACGAGGAACCTCGTGAGCCGGACAGAGAGCTGGGGCCGAGAGGTTCTCTGGCCACGGTGGCATCAGAATGCCAATGACAAAGGTTTAGGCATGCATGCCCAGTGCTCTTCTCCTGCCTGCAAGGACGTGGGGACTGTCTTGAGGACATGCTTTGGTGTCTGCGGTTTGTCCCCGAGGTTGAGTCATTTCGAGAATGTTCCTGTAGTTCCAGTCGGTCCTGAACGTGTACACGGGCCAGCAGTCGCCGAGGGATTGCTCTCTCTGCTCTTGCCTGTTTGACAAGCCTTTTCGTGGTTTACAGTATGCTGGTTTCTCCTGTGGTTGCTGGGGAATTGTCCTCTCTGCCACAGCGTTGTTCCCTTCCTGTCCCCTCCACTTCATCCTCTGCACGCTTCAGAGTCCCAGGGTGCGGCCCACCTCTAAGATGCTCAGCTGTTCACCCAAAGGTTGGAGACCTGGGTCCACGGAGAGGAGCCCTGGAGGCGGAGTGGTTAAGTGTCGAGCTGCCAAGGCAGCTTGCCAAGCAGTTGGCAACCACAGCCAGCCCCCTGGGAGAAAGACGAGGCTCTCTACACCTGGAAGGAGTGGCACCCTGAGAGGCCCACAGGGGAAGCTCTAGCCAGGCCTACATCGGGTGGCTATGGGCCAGAGTTGACTCCACGGCAGAAAGTTTGGACTGTGTTGGTTTGGGCTTTTTGTGGGGAGGGGCTTTGGGAAAAAGGCTTGACAATCGACTTCTGAAAACCCAGCCATTTAAAACCCTAAGGGACACAGTTCTACATGTGTTTGTCATGAGTTGGAACCGTCTTGACAGCGATTGTGTTTTTTTTAATGAAAAAAAAATTAATTCCCATTTTAAGCCCTTGAACATCAGTGTGCAGAGGGCTGACTCTAGGCCTCAAGCTGTGTTCCAGATCAGTGCTTCCCACACTTGGTTCACTATAGAAATGGACTGACCTCCCTGTGTCTCTCTTGTGCAGGGCTCTGGAATCTGCAGGTGGAACACGTGCCCAAGACGATGCTCATGACTGTAGTTACCTGGTCCGGTCTTAACACAAAATGCACAAATGGTTACCAGAAAGAATAGTGTCTGGAGCCTAAAAGGCTTGTCTTAAAACAAGCAGCCATCTAAGCGATAGCTAAGTCCACACAGAAGAAGCACACCGGCCTGTGTGATCCAAGGATCGTAAATATTAAAATCCAAGACCAGAAGAGGGAACGGTATTAAGAGCACACATTCCAAGTAGCTGATTTGCAGAAGGCTAGGGATGGCAGTGAAAGCTCACGTGGATTAAGCCTCCTGAGATCCCCTCTGACCATTGACAGGAGATGTGAATAACCTTACTCTCAGACAAAGTGCATTGGAAGTGAATTAATGTTTGAAAGACAAGTGGTCTAACGTAGTATCACAAAACATCAAATCTTGGTCAGGTCTTTGTTTTCTACGTGATCCTTACTCTTGAGGGCCTGGGCTCCTTAAGGCAGAGAACAAGTCAGAGAGGTCTGCAGGTTGCTACGGGGACTCCGGGGCAGTGTGTAGCAGGTGTCAGCACAGGCTCCAGCACACGGGATCACCTCCACAAATGCGAGCTCTCTATTTAAAAGCAAGCCATTCACATTCAGGGGTCGTGACAGAGTGGAAGCACTTTTCAATAATGTAATTTAACCATGATGTCTGTGTGTTGGAGGAACCCTGGTGGCCTGGTGGGTTACAAGTTGGGCTGTTAACTGCAAGGGCAGCAGTTTGAAACCACCAGCTGCTTATTGAAAGAAAGATGAGTCTTTTTGCTCCTGTCTCACAGAAAGGTCACTCACGTCAAATCCGTGCTGTGTGACTCAGTCCAAAACATCTGCAGGGGTTTCTGAGCTGGTCTTTCTCTTGCTTCAGTAGAATCTGCACGTGGACAGCGGAGCCCCTCCACACGCCACTCACTCCTGCCATTGACCTCTGCTAGTGTAACGAGTCATGGGTCATTTGCGTCAGAAGGGGGATGGGGCCGGCAGTGTCAGGACTCGGGATGTCTGGGCCGCGGTACACAGAAGCTACGTAACAATCTCGAGGTCCTAACCTATACTCTTCTAGAGAGTACCGCGATTTGCGTGCAAAGATTTGAAATGTTAACCAAAAAGTACCAAGTTCCAGAAATTCAAGACAGTATTTTTATTCATTAAAAAAAAGAAAAAAGGTAAAGTCTTGGGAAGCCACAGGGGCAGTGCTACTGTGTCCTGTAGGGTCACTGTAAGTCAGTCCACTTGACAGCACTGAGTTTCTTTTATTGCTTTTAACTTAGTTTTGTTTTAAAATCTGTATGTTGCAGGTGATAAACCCACTGGTTTTCTGGAATCTAATGGATACTTTACCAGCACGCTCTCCACTGGCAGGAAGGTCTGCCCTCAGTCTTTGGCGGAAACTGGTCTAAGTGTCGGTGAGCGTCAGCCCCCCACAGAATGACTGCTCACCTAGAGTAAGTACAGCTCTGCTAAGGGGCTCTAACTGTGGTGCCTTCTGACCCAGAAGTTGGCAACATGCATCTTTGACACGGTCATGAGTTGTGGGGCCAGAATGTCTGGATTCAAATGCCAGTCTTGCTGCGTGACCTCAGGCAAAATACCCCACCTCTCTGGGCCTCCGTTTTCTTATCTGTAAAATGGGGATCCAGAGGCACCTACTCTACCTGTAAAGTGACAAGGTGACTCTCCCTGGCACACCAATGCTGTGCTGTTTTTGCCATGATGAAGTTTAAAAGAAGACGAAGTGAAGCTACACCTATTTGGGGGAGTACGTAAAACGTAAAGAAAAGACTAAGTAAGGTAGGTGGATACTTGTGAAGTTCGTTTGGAAACGTTCTTTGACCCTTGCAAGCTTTTCTACACAGTTCGGGCAGCAATGCCCTTTTTGTTTTTTCATATTTAGGAAAGACATATTTTAATCGAATGCCAACATGATCATATGGTCTGCATTAGAGAGTGTCATGGATTCAGTTGTGTCCCCCCAAAGATGTGTAATTGGATCGGCTGGGATTCCCAGTATTGTGCGGTTGTCATTCCATTTTGTCATCTGATGTAATTACCCTCCCTGTGTGATATCTGTTGCAAATCCTAACCTCCCTGTGTTGATGCGGCAGGATTAGAGTGGGTTCTGCACATCTCGAGTCACAGCTTTATAGGACAGGACAGTGTGACTCAACCCCCACCTTTACTCAAGTCAAATCCTTGCTGGAGTTGCACATTACAAGAATAAAAGGAGAGAGAAGCAAGCAGAGAGAAGGGACCTTACTACCATCAAGAACGAGGAGCCAGGAGCAAGGGAGACCTTGGGACCTGAGGTCTCTGTACTGAGAACCTCCTAGACCCAGGAGATGATTGTTGTCAACATGTGTAGAGATTTCTAAGGAACTCGAGGTCCATATATGTTTAAATGTGATAGGGCCTTTCTCCAGAGCTGATACAGAGAAAGCCCTCCAGTGAGTTCAGACTTCTAGCTCCTTAAACTGAGAGAGTCAGTTTGTTTGTTATTGTCATCCACTTGTGCCATTTTTGTAGAGCAGCACTAGATAACTGTGGAGCCTTGGTGATGTAGTGGTTATGTGTTGGCCTGTGATCCACATGGTGGGCAGTTCAAAGCCACCCGCAGCCCTGTGGGAAAATGACCGGACTTTCCACTCCTGTTAACAGTTACAGTCTCAGAAACCCACAGGGGGTGCTGTGAGTCAGCATGGACCCCATGGCTGTCAGAGGTAACTGAAGCAGAGGGATTCTCTGTATTTTTACATTTTTGCTTAATCTGGAAGCTACCAAAGCTAAAAAATATTAGTATATATGTGTTTATTTAAAACTAGAGCTCTAACTCTGCAAGGCTGTTGGGTTACTGAACCCTGGTACTTCATGATTGTAGGCAAACATGTAACAGAGTGAGGTGACCTGGTGGCATATCCAGCTCTGACCTTAGCCAGGTGGTGTGGGTTTTATTGCAGGAAGCCAACTTTCTACAATAAAACAGTAAAATGGGTCTCTGAAGGCCCATTTCATGTTCAAAGGGAAATGATTATAACAGTCCTACTATATCACAGGGATATAGTGGGGAGCAAACAAGATAAGAAGTGTGCGGTTGCTTTGCAACTATTCATATGTAAAAGCATTGCGATATTAAAAAATCCCATGCCTTGAATTATGGATAAGGATGCCTGAAAGCATTGTCCGGGACCATTGTTTCAAATGAAAGCCTCTGAAACCAGGCTGGCACCCATCACATTGTGTGGGAGCTCTTTCAAACTGCCGGGAAGTTCAACACGAAATATAATATTGGAACCATGTCAGTTTAGGTGTGTTTTTAAATTAGTTCTTCCTCTTCTCTTTACTCACGAACTCACCGCCATCCAGTTGATTCTGAAGCATAGCAACCTGTTATGAAATCAGAAGCGGGACTTATGAGACTTAAAGCGCTTTGCAGGTGTAGAAAGCCTCCTTTTCCTCCCTTGGAGCGGCTGGTGGTTTTGAACTGCTAACCTGTTGGTTAGCAGCCAAAGCATAGCCCACTACACACAAGGTTTCTCTTCTCTTTCCTCCTCCCTCCCATCCTCCTCTCCACTTCTCTTTAAGATGCCTGCTTTTTATTTTCATTTAATGTCCTTGATGAATGTACGCCTTAAAATATATTAATATGGTGTGTTTCAGTGAACGGTTAGGCAGCACGTTTGGTCCCCAGGTAACGATTTCTATCCGAACTGCTCAGGGGCACTGTTTCCATTTTCCACGCTGTGTCAACGCGCCCAGTAGTTCTGCTCTTACTCCTCGTGTCCCTTAGTTTAGTTGTGTCCCTGGCCCTCTTTACCTTCCCGTCTGGGCCTCAGAGCACACGTTGGCCACTTGGTCTCCCAGAGAAGACTCTCTGAAAGGAGTACAGCTGCCGTAATGGCATTTGATGAGCCAGTCTGTCATTTGGACATCTTTTGGGTAGGTTTCGGCCCCCTCCCATTGTGACTAAATGAGCTGAGGCTTTTTTTATACGGGAGCAGGCCGTTTTCATAACCCAGGGCTGTTCTAGCCTCAGCTATGTTAGATCCTCTATCAAGTTAAGCACATTGAAAATCAAATCCCTCTGCTTTCTTCCCAGCACAGCTGCAGATTTGGAAATGAAGCCCTCCTCCCCATCCTCCTCCTCCTCCTCCTCCTCCCGCACAGAGCACTCCTCTGAACCCGCACTGCCTGAAATCCAAAGGGATAAATCTGCAGAGAACTTCAGCCTGCTCAAGTCCCAGACAAGTAAGCCAATCGTGGGCTCTGCCTCCACGGGGCTCAGCGCCGGGGGCCCTTTGCAGAAGCCTGACACAGAGCTGAAGACCCACCACATGCCAGGATTTGACATATTTCATCCCGTTCTTGGAACGACTCAGAGGGGAGCTGTCGATATATACGTTCTCCTGTGTTTCAGGTGGAACTTTACACAGTGTATTAGTTTCCCATCCAACGATGGGTGTGTGTTTTGTTCCATGACACTGCTGGATGATCCCCATCTCTACGTTGCCTTCCCTAATTTCCATCCCTGCCCCCTTTTCTCTGCCCCTCCTTGCCTTCTCTCGTTGCCTTAGGGCAAATATTACCTGTTTGGAGTCTAGTTTGTTCTAAGGAGTGCATTCCTCCGGGCTGATGCTGTTAATTGTGCAGGCTGATCTATTCGTGGCTTAACACGTGACCTCTGGGAGTGGCTGTAGCTCCGGATGAAAAGGGTGTTTTGGGGGCATAGTCTCGGGGTGCCTCCAGTCTCTATCTGTCCAGTAGGTCTGGTCCTTTTTTTTTTTTTTAATGAGTTGGAGTTTTCTTCTACATTTCTCTCCCAGTCTAACCAAGACCACCTATTGCATTCCTGGTCAGAGAGGCCCTTAGTGGTAGCCAGGCACCATCTAGCTCTTCCGATCTCAGGTAGAGGTAGTGGTGGCTCAGGTGAACCATTAGTCCTTGTGGACTTAGTGCTTTTGAATTCTGTGGTTTCCATCACTCTCACTTGCTTCAGATGGGAAGAGATCGATCAATAGTTATATCGTAGGTGGTGACTTGTGAGCTTCTAAGACCTCGGATAGTACTCACCAAATTAGGGTGTAGAAGAACATTATCTCTATGAACTATGCTATGCTAATGGACCTACGTGTCCCCCAGGACTGTGGTCCTTAGCCTTCGAGCTCAGTAATTCAGTCCCACGAGGTACTTGGATATGTCCTAGAAGCTTCCTTAGCTGGGCTCTACTCTAACCACAGTTATACCTATATATGTCATCCATGGACTCCCATAGATGCGCCCACACCTATAGATATCTACTGTAACCATTCACCACGTTTCTGATGGTATTAACTCTAGTTGTCCTTCATTCTTGTGTGTCTCTCAATGTCTTCATTTACCTTGATCATACTGTATTGATTCCCCCTGTGTTAGTCTGGACTAGAGAAACAAATTCATAGACACTCATATGTATATAAGAAAGAGGTTTATAGACACGAGCAGTTGAATATTGAGAAAACCTCCCAGTCCAGTCCAGATCAAGTCCATAAGTCCAATATTAGCCCATATGTCCCATACCAATCTATAAAGTCCTCTCCAGACTCACACAATACATGCTGAATGCAGGAGGAGCACAGGCCAGTGGGTTGGAAGTCTTGTGGATCCAGTGGCGTGGTAAGCATCTCAGCACTGGCAGGGGTCTCTACATGACTTCTCTGGCTCCAGAGGTCTGGTTGCATCAGCATAGGTCCAGTTGCATCAGGATAGGTCCATGTGACTTCTC